CTTTACTCTCTACCCAACCACACATTTTCGGGTAAGTATGTCGGCAGACTTATGTTTTGACCCTCAGCGTCAGGACCTGTGTTACTAACGGTGGTAGGTTGTCGTCAATTATTAAAATAGCCAACAGTGTATGACCTTTCATCAGGCTGTAGCGACGATAGCCGATATCCCATGAATGAAAAGCTACAATATACGTACATGTATTAAATATATATAAATATCACAACTAAGCTGAACAAAACTAGTCAGGCCTTTGTTTACACTCTCTCTAACCTCATACACACGCATATATACGCAGCCCGTGCCGTTCACGTACGATACTGAGTACGCTTACATATTTATCATGTCAAATACAACATTCTATCGAACTGATAATATAAGGCCCAGCAAACATATATGACCTAATACGGTTTACTGGTTTGACATTGACATGTATCATCAAATATTTACATTCTTTAAGCTTGGACCCATTGACGAAAATGGAATTAATTTTCGGCATAACACTGGTGACCTCATCACTGCGTATTGATACAAGGCAATGACGTAACACAGGGCGTACTTGGTTCACATTCACCGTGGAACAACCCTCGATGTAGTTTGTGTATGCTAATATCAACTAACATTAAATATGATTGACTTGCGTTTTAAAACTAAAATAAGGTTGAAAAAATAAATTGTATTCTTAATGGCTACTGTAACGGTTTTCTACTCTTTCGAAAACGCCATGAAAATTACCCACATATCCCCTAAAAGGGAAACGCATTGTCTTAAAAATGATGTCAGCTGTGTTTTTGATAAATATATATTTTTATTTAATATAGATAATGTTTTCAAAGGAAAAGAAGGCACAAGGCATTATATTTTATCCTACATTTTCTTCATTAAAACAGATAAACATACAAATAAATCATTTACTAAACATACCTCTAAGACATGATATACTACACAAACCTCTCAGACAGTATTATGTACTACACAAACCTCTCAGACAGAATTATATACTACACAAACCTCTCAGACAGAATTCTATACTACACAAACCTCTCAGACAGAATTCTATACTACACAAACCTCTCAGACAGTATCATATACTACACAAACCTCTCAGACAGAATCATATACTACACAAACCTCTCAGACAAACTTATAAACTACACAAACCTCTCAGACAGAATTATATACTACACAAACCTCTCAGACAGAATTATATACTACACAAACCTCTCAGACAGAATTATATACAACACAAACCCATCAGACAGACTTATATACTACACAAACCTCTCAGACAGAATCATATACTACACAAACCTCTCAGACAGAATTATATACAACACAAACCCATCAGACAGAATCATATACTACACAAACCTCTCAGACAGAATCATATACTACACAAACCTCTCAGACAGACTTATATACTACACAAACCTCTCAGACAGAATTATATACTACACAAACCTCTCAGACAGAATTATATACAACACAAACCCATCAGACAGAATCATATACTACACAAACCTCTCAGACAGAATCATATACTACACAAACCTCTCAGACAGACTTATATACTACACAAACCTCTCAGACAGAATTATATAAAACACAAACCTCTCAGACAAACTTATATACTACACAAACCTCTCAGACAGAATTATATACTACATAAACCTCTGAGACAGAATTATATACTACACAAACCTCTCAGACCGAATTATGTACTACACACACCTCTCAGACAAAATTATATACTACACACAACTCTCACACAGAATTATATACTAAACACACATCTCTCAAACAATGTCATATACTACAAAAAAACCCTTTATAGTATAATAGATTTATACCACACATCTGACGTTTTTTAGCTCACCTGCCCAAAGGGCAAGTGAGTTTATGCCGTACCGCGGCGTCTGTCGTCTGTCGTCCGTCCGGCGTCAACTTTTCCCTTTAAAAGCCTTTATCTCTTGAACGACTGGTTGGATTTTAACTGAATTTGCTATGAAGCATCCTTGGGACCAGGGGCTAAATATATTTACGAAATAAAGGTGTGCCCTCCTAGGGGGCTGAGCTAGGGGCCAAAAAGGGCAAAATTTAGAAAAAAAATAAATCTTTTTCTCAATTTCCAGAAATGTTAAAACCAAATACTACTCATAGTTTTAAAGGCCTTTGGATGGTTTATAAAAAAATGTGATTTTCATGTCTCCTAGCCCCGCCCCCGTTTGTTCCTTGGGAGGAGATGAGGTTTAGTATAGTTAATATAGGAAATAAACATAATAGGCGATATCTTCCAATGTTTTGAACGGAATTTGCTCATATTTGAAAGAAATACTTGTTAGGGATTATAGAGGTCTGCTGGTATAATATTGATGAGTCTGAACCCCTAGGGGGCTGTCAGCTAGGGGCTGAAAAGGGGGGGGGGGAGGATTTAGGGAAATTTCAAAAACTTCTTCTCCAGTTCTAGAAATGCTAGAATCAAATACTACTCATAGCTGTAAAGGCCTTTGGGTGGTTTAGAAAAAGTGTGATTTTCATGTCTCCTATCCCTCCCTCCCCCCCCCGTTTGTTCCTGAGGAGGAGATGAAGTTTAGTATTGTTTATATAGGAAATAACATAATAGACCATACCTTCCATTGTTTTCAACGAAGTTTTTTAAAAGAAATACTTGTTAGGAAAAGAGGGTCTGCAGGTATTTTTTTTATGAGCCTGACCCTTTAGGGGGTTAAGTTAGGGGTCGAAAAGGGGGGAAATTTAGGGAAATTTCAAAAATCTTCTTCTCCAGTTCTAGAAATGCTAGAATCAAATACTACTCATTGCTTTAGGCCTTGGGGTGGTTTATACAATTTGTGATTTTCATGTCTCTCTGGGCCCCCGTTTGCCCCTGAGGAGGGGGTGAAGTTTAGTATAGTTTATATAGGAAATAAACATAATTATCCATACCTTCCATTGTTTTAAACGAAGTTTTTTAAAAGAAATACTTGTTAGGAAAAGAGGTCTGCAGGTATAATTTTGTGACCCTGACCCCCAAGGCGGCTGGATTGTGGGTGAAAAAGGAGGCGAATTTCAAAAATCTTCTTCTGCAGTTCAAGAAATGCTAATATCAAATACTACTCATAGTTGTAAAGGCCTTCGAGTGGTTTTTATACTTTGTGATTTTCATGTAAAATTTAAAAGACAATTCGACAAAATGAACAGCCATCACATACTTTTTATCTCCAACCCAACTAATGTGCTAGTAAAAGTAACAACCTTATTTTTTTATGAATTATAAAGTATCCATAGTAACGCTTCAAAGTTCTTAAACAAATTGGCATTACATAGCAAATGTAAATATTGTGCCATGATTGCTTAAACAACCAGGTGAGCGATACAGGCCCCCATGGGCCTCTTGTTATTCATTACATGAAACATTAGCAGACTACTGAAATAGTTATAAAGACTGCAGGAATTGAAAGAACCGGCTGAGATCCAAGACCATTATAAATACAAAGGGAATAGCAAGAAGTGCTGCTCCAAAATACCCGATAGCTTTCGATGATTCACGGCTGTCATTTGCGCTTGTCTTCTTCCTTATTGAAGCTGTAATAAAAAAAATCACACTGTGTTTGTTTATGTTCAAGAATTGATCTTTTTAAACCAAACAAAACATGATAATTTGTTAATAGATCAAACTCATCCTTGTCTTAATTCTTCTGACTTATGTGTACAATTTGTATACAGTTGAACCACATTTGTAATAGTAATTTCGTTCCGCATAATAATCATCTATTCTGTAAGATTATGTAACCAATATCTGACGCTATAATTGTATCTTCCATGAAGTCTCGTTCTGAGTAACTAGCACGCATGGCAGCAGATTGACTGTTTCTGTTGCGTGTCTCTACACCGAGCTAACGACTTATCAAATATACAATTCCGTCACGTCGTTGTAAAGGTAAACAATAAATATCGCTTACTCAGTCATAGATTGACAAAGGAATCAGTCAGTCTTGAAACGTTGTGACACGTTTAGTACGTACATTGTCTGTGTATAAAGTAAAACTTTGATATCAACATATTCCCAAACTGATGAATCTTACTAAAGATAATGTTACTTAACTTTGTCCATGTAATGATTGTCACAGGAATCACAGGACTCGATTGTTACAGTTTTATTGTGTCTCTTTTTCACAAAATCCCTGTAACGCTCGATCGATTCGTATACGTTACCTGAGAGAGCTGGTTTGTTAACTGATAGCTCTGCCTTTAACTCTTTGATAATTGTCTTTAATTGAGTAGAGGTCATATTGATAGCCGGCTTCTGAGGGACACACTGACAGCAAGGCAACACAGTTTGACCTTTTAAAAACGATTAGAAAAACTATTTGCAATTTCGAAAACTATTTCATGATAATAATAAGTTTTGATTTCTAATTTATATTTTTCAACTTTTATTATATGTTTATTCAGCAGTACTTTCTGTACTTTGTACTCAGTGTTTTTTTTCTTTCTGATTGCTTTTATTTTTTTCTATTTCCGCGTGAACGTTCTTCAGGAAAAAAGATATCACTAGAAATAAATAGCACATTAAGCCATCTGTACTGCAGTGTATTGTCACATCGCTGTCATTTGGTTTTTTAAGTATCTTTCGAAAAAGTCATTGCGTAATTTAATCGTGTTTTTCAGTCTTATTGAATGGTATTGTTCGTTTTTTTACGTGGTTTCTGCCGAGGAGTTGTAATATTTATTTACATATCCAAGGTACTGTTGTTGAGTTGTTGAGTTATAGTTTGAAGGGATTTGATTGGCTATTGTTTAGTTTGGTACTGAACTTTGATGCAATAATGTCTAGATTGCAAGGGTATTAAACAACAATTGCGGCATATGTTTGACACGATTTACTATTCAACAGATATGCGTTTCAGACATAAAAAAACCGTATATTTAGTTATGGGTATCGTTTTTAGTACAATAATCTCATAAAGTACTAAAATATGATATACTCTACATACACATACCATTGTAAGATACATCAGATGTGACATTTCTGAAAATCTCTGTTGTGGTGGACAGCGTCTCGAATGGTGGTGCTGTCGGAGTGGTGGTAACGGCATTGGTGGTGGAGGTGGTGGTTATAGGACAATCAGGCGCTGTACCTTTAACATAGATGTGATATATACATATTTACATTTGATCTGCATTGCCACTATATAACACTACCAAGGCCAGTTCCGTGTTATGAGACAGTAACACTGGCGCAGTGATATATACACGGGTACGACTAACTATCAGGTTGTTATTCCCCCTGCACACTAGCAAGCAGATAAGAAAATACAAAACAAAAAAGCTATGATTCAATGGTATTCACCGTTTTATGTTCACCATTATGAAATGTGAATGGAATACATTGATTGATTAAATGATGGAAAAAGTATTAATAGTTTTGTGTTTACTTCCACGCACTATATTTTTTTCCTTGAAAAGTCAACAGAGACAACATTCCGTAAGCAATTCTATTGGCTTTTCTATCTCTTGTACAAACACCGCTAAATTCTTATTTAAAAGTGCCCTGTGAAGGTAGAAATGAAAATGAAAAAAATATATAAAAAATGTCAATATAAGCATAACACAGCATTCTGTTCCGTGTTATGGTCCTATAATACGAAACAAAATGCTGTTTAATGCTTAAATATATGCTAGAGATTTATTTGACAATGTAGTGTTTATATTATATGAAATTCTCTTTGATTTTATACACCCAATTATTCTTCCAGGAACTCTTTTCACAAGTCTTGTTAGTCTGTGTCAAGCTATTACATTCCCCCAACGCCTTTAATGACGTCTTACAAATGCGTCTGACCTGGTTATATGAACAGATTATGCAACGACTTATACATTTTTCACAGCTAGCACGCAGGGAAACGTTGTATATACTATTTTGCATTTGAAGTTTAGAGGCGAGGCTGCGTCCATTAAATTTCGGGAACATTGGTCATTCCAGCCAAAAATAAAATACAACTGAAAGCAAGGTGAAATTTAGGTGTGTTTGTGTCGGTTTGGGAGTTATAAAACAGGTATGGAAAAAATCGTTATACATCGACAAAGCCTAATAAAATTTATCTATTAAATAAAATATGGAGGCACGATAATCTAGTTGAAGGACGCCGGGCCCGTGTCCGAAGGGTTTCGGGTTCGAGTCACGTCACGGCACTGTGTTGTAGCTTTGAACAATATACTTATTCCAGTCTACTCTGCTGTAAATGAGTACGTAGTAAGGCAGTGCTAGAATTGTTGAATGCTAGCTGTGAGCGCCGAAATGGCAGCATCGGCTGTTTGCTCCCTAAGAAGCTTTTAATAATATTGACTGGTTGAAAAGGCCTTTTAACCACGGATGATAATTTGTGAACCGCTGTCAGACGACCTACGGACTAGGTTGTGATAAAGCGGTTAATAAGAGCCTCGAATTACAGGATTTCACATAAAAGTTAACAAAACTATAATTTTATCTCGAATTAAAAGACAAAATTGTGTAAAGTAACACAGCAATGGTTTCATGAAGACCATTGCAGAAAGCCAATGATAAAAGGACCAGGTGCTCCGGTCGAGTAAGCGTCTTCTTCTTCATCTAACATAAACGACACTATATACGTCCATCTAATGAATGCCATGACCTCATATACAAATGTGCCGATAACAGGTTACATGTATATATATGTAAGTGACAACTAAACCATGATTGATACTTATGACCACAATAAATAAACACCAACCACAATTTGTTTGACTAACATAGACTAAGTTTCCTTTATTACCAAGAAAACACACTGCATTGTTTTAAATGTTGCCTCTCGCTTTGAAATAAAGAATGTATAACGAAAAATGCCAAACGAGAAATGTTCAAAACAATAGGCCTACCATCATATTCCAACTAAGTGACCAAAACTAACACAAGTGTCACTCATGATCGCTGCCCCATGTCACGTGACGCCAATCCCCGCGAAAACACGACAACTCATGAATAAACTAGTGAACAACGATAAAGTAGTAGGTAACATAATACGCACCCACAATGAAAAACTACACGAACGATAGCGATTTGCAACACACTTCAAGAATCCAATGACCAAATATTCCGGCATGACGATGGCGGTCACCCTTATCTACCGAGCTTAAATACGCCGCTTCGGCAAACTAACAACATATAAAACTACATACGTAAAACATTACCAACTATTAATATGTCACCAATCGCAATAATGTAGTTCCGTTAAGTATGAACATATTTAAAAATGAGCGAAAATTTATATACAAAAACTTTAATTTCTTTCTATAAAATATGATTGTGCTTACCATGGATTCTGAGATATCAAGAGGAAGTTATAGGGGAGATAACTATGACATGCATATGCTCAGCTAAAATGAGGTAACCATCCATCAATAAATAAAACTTAATTTGTGCTTAGATAAATCAATTCAATTTTTAACATTACATTTTATTAAATGTTGCCTCTCGCGATAAAGAATGTGTTACGAAAAATGCAAACTGAGAAATGTTCAAGGCTGGACAAATTGGATATAATGTAGGAGTGCCCGTATGGGCCTTTTGGAGGCCATCACATAAACGTTTTTTGCATAACTACACCTTGTGGTTATGCCGCCATGATATTTATATAAGGCCATTTGTGATATTGGTCCCCCATTGACCCCTTATATCTCGGAATGGTCTCAAAGCTGACCCTAGTTTTATGTCACATCGTGACGGCATAACTGCAAGGTATATTTATGCAATAGAAATTAGAACTTATCTGTGATAGTTACCAGAATTTACAATTGGTATCTATCCCCTTTCAATGGCATAATGCCGCCAAAATATGACATTAATAATTTTAAACAGTCCTTTATCATCTTATAAAATACGCTGATTTACCAGAACTCTGTCGATCTTCTGTTACGGTATTAATCCGAAGGCCACTGCATCCAAAACTAAATGTTCTGCACGTCGTTATCTGGATGAAAACCAGCTGAAACGGATATTTACATTGAATAAAAAAAACAACCGAAAAAGTGAAAGCATTACTTAATTGTCAGTTTATATATACTTAATTGTCAGTTTATATATTGAATTTATCATAATGTGTGCCCTATCTTTCATATTAATAGAAGTGAATGTACTTATGGTAGATGCATTATCCAACATTACTAATATTTGTAATACACATTGTGAACATGTAACCCACCTTTGTTGAAACTAATTATAATATGTACTACAAAATAGTCTGCAGTCTTTTAGCATGTTACCTTGCTGTCACAAATATAGATATATAATTATATAAAATATCGTACAATTACGACAGGTAATTCATATCTTTAACCTTCTTATCAACAGATACTATTGTATATGATATTTAGTGTTTATTAATTAAATAAATGACAGAGAAACGAGTTATAAAACTGACTTCTATGTCACTTGTGTTTCTTTGTCAAGTAGATAAAACATGAAATGTAAAATATAGTATTGACAAAATGAAAAAAAACCCCAAAAAACCCTCAAACAAACAGGAAATCAAATATCAAACAACTATATCTTCATTGTCGTGAAATAAACATAAATTTTGTTTTATCCGAGTGAAAACAACCTTCCTTATGTTCCTTTGTTTTTATTGTTGACTACACTAAGTCATTTTAATCGAGTTAAAAATGTAACCAAAACTGTCTCGCTGAGTCGACTTATAGTGATAATTTAGATCAACTTATCGTGAAATTGTTCATGAACATGAAAGCGAGATAACTCCGGTGTTCTGTCTCCTACATGTAGAGTCAGTTTCATGAATAAAAAAATGAGATCTCCCGAGGTTTGGTGTTCTATTTTCAAGCTCATGTGAAAATAAATTCGTAATGGCAGTAGCTAGCTTAGGTATTGTCGATATAATTATGGCGGCATAATCAGTTATTTATTTCGAGTTATCGAGATAGTTTTGATATGATATCTAAATTATGTTGATCACTACAATTATCATAAGGTGATTTCATTATTATCATAATTCGACTTATGGATTAATGTATTATGAAAAGACAAGTTATCGAGATAATTGTTTCGAAATAACTATATTGGTTTAAATGAACTAGTAGCAAAATTGTGTCAACATACCTTTTACCAAAATGAAAACACATTGATAGTTACGGGTCGAGCATTTTTGTTAGATTTTAATATTTCAGTTTTAGCAAATCATTCACCAAAACGCAAAATAGTATGTTCAGAAAGGATTGCCCCGAGGGAACAATACAAGTCATAATCGTTACCCCTTTTATGCAGTTCATCAGTGATAATAGCATGCACAATTCATAGTTATCCGATACTTATCTGGATATTCGGACCAAGAAAAAGAATGTGATAAGAAAAAACATACCTCTGGGTGATGATGATACAGTGTAGTTAATGTTCTGTGTTTCTTTCCCTACTGACAGACCGTTTGTTTTTGTCATTCATTTTGTTTTAATTAACTATCTATTTCTGTCATTCTTTTTGTTTTAATTTACCGTTTATTTTTATAATACATTTTGTTTCAATTAACCGTATATTTTTGTCATACATTTTGTTACAATTTACCGTTTATTTGTTTCATATATTTTGTTTTAACTTACTGTCTATTTCTGTTATTCGGTTTGTATTCTTCTGAATGACCGTTTATTGCTGTCTCTGATTGACCGTTTATTACTGTCTCTGATTGACCGTTTATTGCTGTCTCTGATTGACCATTTGTCATTTATTGCTGTCTCNTTGACCATTTATTGCTATCTCTGATTGTCCGTTTATTGCTGTCTCTGATTGACCGTGTATTGCTGTTTCTGATTGACCGTGTATTGATGTCTCTGATTGACAGTGTATTACTGTCTCTGATTGACCGTTTATTTCTGTTTCTGATTGACCGTGTATTGCTGTCTCTGATTGACCGTTTATATCTGTTTCTGATTGACCGTTTATTACTGTCTCTGCTTGACCATTTATTGCTATCTCTGATTGTCCGTTTATTGCTGTCTCTGATTGACCGTGTATTGCTGTCTCTGATTGACCGTTTATTGCTGTCTCTTTTTGACCGTGTATTGCTGTCTCTGATTGACCGTTTATTGCTGTTTCTGATTGACCGTGTATTGTTGTCTCTGATTGACCGTTTATTTCTGTTTCTGATTGACCGTGTATTGCTGTCTCTGATTGACCGTTTACTTTTTTTCATACCGTTTGTTCTTTCCATGCATGCTTTTTCTGACTTACATCTTTGCAGTCCCAATAATCCGATTGATCATCTTGCCGCAGTTGATATGTAACGGGGTCATTGACATGTATTGTCAAGTATAAATTGATGGTTTCTCCAAGTTTAAAATCGCCATGAAAATGCACTGTATGGCTGACACCGGTACTGTCCCACACAGTAATGCTGAATGTTGCGTTAGCAGCACGAGAACTTATCTTTCCAGTTGTTGTCTGTATTGCCCACATATCCTCTGAAAATAGAAACACGTTGTCATCGTCATATCTATAAACACATTTTGTGTAACCTGTTTTTAGATTTAACATACTCAAAAGGCATTGGACACAAGGTATTAGATTTTCAATAAGATTCATCAATTTTGAAATACTTCGTAGAAAGTAAAACTTATTTTCTTCCTTATAACATATCAACATGATAATAACCTTGATATCATATACATTGTGGTGAAATTATAACTATTATAAAATATAATCAGAGACATTTAATCTAGTTTACGATGCAGACCATAAAGATACTGTATGTATCAGGCCCAAATAAATTTACTAAAAGGAATTGTGAGCAGCATATACCAGTACAGCAATATTTAATGAAGCTATATTATATCATTTTCTTGTCTGAGATACGTAATGGAAATATATATAAACCTTTTTGTAGTAGGTTGTATAAGTTTTACAAACCGGTGCATATTCACCCATTTACATTGATAACGTGAAACCTCGTAACTGGAATTTATTCTTAATTAATTTACAGAGGCATTGCATTTATGTGATGAATGAAAACTTCCTTATTCGTAGTAGAATATAAATATACATCTTTATAAATATTACGTTGTTATAGGTTTTAATATGCACATTTTACGGTATTTCAGACATATATTTTTATTCATCTGATCTATGTTATGTACCATTTGCGAGTGATAGATGATAAACACGGCCATTTAATAAGTTCACTTTTATTCACGAGTCACGACAGTAACCAATCTCAAGTCACGTGGTAATTCATGAAAATCGAATTTGACAAGGGGATATATGTCATTAATATCAGTTATAAGCTAATTCGAAAGTTCATCTATACATATTTCGGTCATTGAGCACAGGATATACCGGATATGACAACAGACTCGGCAAACATAATTTGGTCATCGAACAAAGGAAACCGGATATTACAACCAACTCGGCCAAAATAATGTATCATCAAGCACAGTAGACACATGATATAGCACCTAACTTGGCCAAAATAATTCGGACATAACATCCAACTCGGCAATACAATTTTGGTCATCAAGCACATGATATACCTGTTGTAACAACCAACTCGGCCAAAATATTTTGGTCATCGAGTACAGAAGATTCCGGATATCATAACAAACTCAAAATGAGTAATCTGTCACCTATCACAGAAGTACATGTTTTACAACGAGGATAAACGTTTGTTTTGGAACCTATTCCTTGACCTGTTACACTTTCGTAATCGCCATATTGTTCATTCAATAATAAACAGGCTACACGATCGTTATATTAATTAATACTCATTTCCTTTGTTTTTTGGTTTTGTTTTATTTTTTCGAAGAACGAAATATAAAAGCTGTCAAAATTGGTTAAAGCATATCCTGAAACTTATGCAGTGATGCCTACTGAATACAGGGCCGCGGTGGCCAAGTGGCTAAGGCGTCTGACATTCTGCTACCACCAGCCCTCTACCAATGGGTCGCGGGTTTGAATTCTAAGTGGGGCAGTCACCAGGTTCTGGCCGTAGGTCGGTGGTTTCTTTCCAGGAACTTTTATCCACCTCGAAAACCTGGCACCTCCTTAAATGACCATAGCTGTGGTTAGGACGTACAACACAAACAAACCAAACCAAGCCTACTGACTTACGTATTTCGTCTAAAGGCTTTGGTAAAATAATCACCTTTTGGGGATATGGTAGTCTTGTTGTGGCTATTTCCAATCCAGCAGTCACATTCGAATGTAAAGTTATATGAGGCGCTTTCCATCGTCAACTGCAACAGATAGAGACTTTATAGTTTTGATTTTATTATATTTTTCAACCGTTTAAAATAGTGTTTTTCATCAATAAGACAACTAAAAGGACTGACAATGGTGAACACTAAAAGCGTTAACAGTAATCTATGCTTAGGAAAAAGTACAATACCATGCAACATATTTATATTGACACTAAAGTTTCTGAAGGTATTTGGATAGATGTAGATATTAATAATGATAATGATAATTTGAGGTTTGTATATACCGCTTTATCACAACCTTGTTCTTAGGTCGTCTCAAAGCGGTTCACCAATTTCTATCCGTGGTTATAAGGCCTTTGCAACTAGCCAACATATTTCTCAACTCCCTGGGGAGGATACAGCCGGTGCTGCTATTTCGGCGCTCACAGCTAACATTTAACAATGCTAGCACTGTTCATTGCAACCACGTACAGACTGGAACAAACGGAGTAAAGTATCTTGTTCAAAGATACAACACAGTGTTGTGACATGACTCCAACCCGAAACCCTTCGGTCGCGAGCCCGGCGTTCTACCACTAGACTACCGTGCCTCCTGATGTAGGATTTAGAACATTTTGTTTTAGTTTCAAAATACTTGTTCCATTTTATTTTTGACAGTGAGACCATTTCGTAACTATATTTTAACAGTGAGATTTTATCTTAGTGTACATGGTATTGTCTACAAATTCTATGGAAAACCTGTTTGAGATTTTAAAATAAGATTTTGGCAATGACACAGAAACAGTTTATAGTCAACTTATTTATTTATAGTTTAAAGGACATCTCAAATATGGTTTCCTTTGCAAAGGCTTATACAGATACTTTATTCTATAAATGGTCAAGGTTTCCAAATTATTTTCATTTATCCACGTCACTATTTAACATACCGAAATAGCAAATAAATTGACTGTGAAATAAATGGTGCTTATTATGTTACTTTGAATTACATTGCTGCCAAACATATCGTAACATNTATATCGTAACAGGATGTGATTGTTTCTTTTTAAACCTAATGTACAATATTAAATCAAGGTTTAATCATATACTGTATATCTATTATACTTATAAGGGAAAATAAAATGAAAATATAGAGAAGGTGAGATGGGTAAGAATGACTTCCATTTCATGCGATTTAGAAACTATCTTTCCTAATTAAGAATTCTGAATACACGTGCATCAATGATATGATGAAGATGTTATACTGTAATCAAGTGTTAAAAGCAAGCAATACGCGGTCAGATTTTGACATGTTTATACCTGTCAACCCACCATCGTGCACAAATTAAACTAATCCCTGCGAGTCGGATGCAGTTGGGGGAAATATTTATACACTTTGAAAACAAGTAATGGTTATAGAAAATATAGAAAAATGAGATCCATTTACGGAAGCCTCTATCATAAATGTTGTTCATTTTCGCATAAAATTAGTTTTTCGTCATCATTTCATACCTTGTCATTTTTATACGTAGTAAGCTTATTTCTAACAATTGTGCAACCTTCACTAGTGGTTGTCTTTCTAGTAGTGCATAACCTGTAGTGTTTTGTAAATAGAATATATGAAGTTCATTTGCATTTCAGGTTTTCATTTTGTCAAAAGTTAAATACCTAAAGTTTGAGTGTATATCTGCACAAATATTCCCTTAATGATCTTAAATCTTAAGTAGGCGGTAAATAGTATAAAAAAAATCGCGTATAATTTTTGAAAACATGCAAACGTTTATATCATTGCCATACCCGGATGAAAAGGACAACATAAATCTGAAAAAAAGACTGCATGGACAAACCATACCGAACTATTGCTCTTGCAAACAAGCGATTATGTATCATATGTGAAGTTTTGATTACTAGTATAGTATGTACTCTGTTACCTTCATCAGACAAATGACCAGCTGAATCGAGTTATTTCTGTACAGCTTACAGCGTACAGCCGAATCGACATCGATTTGTAAACAACTCGTACACATTGTACTACGCTTCACTGGTCATTTGTCTGATGAAGGTGAAAGAGTACATACCGTACTCGTCATCGAAACGTCACATAGAAACACACATTGGTTGTGTAACAAGAAATGTTTCATAATCCATACTTACAAACCCGCAAAAAATGTTTAGAACAAAGGAATAGTGTAAATACTATTACGTTTGTCTACTACATTTTATTCTGATGCTAGGGAACTTCTAAAGCGAAACGAAAATTACATTCTGACGTACACTATCAAATATTGTCTTTGATAATGATATAACCTGTCATGATGAAAGTAACCAAACTTTAAGACTTTATAGCAGTCTTGCCGAGCATACTTTTTCGAGTTGAGATTGGTAAAACCTTACGCCCCTTGCTATACCGTCATCAGGTCTACATCCCTTAATATACTGTCATCAGGTATACATCCCTTACTATACCGTCATCATGTCTACTTCCCTAAGTTATTCCTTTAAAGGATTAAATTATGACATTTCCGTTGTAAAAATGTGTGACCATTACTAGACTTGAGTTTTAATTAGATTGTTTGTCAAATTTACTGCAATATTTAGTATCAACTTTGAAAAAACAGTTTTTGTAGACACCGCAATAACCAAATTCATACACAGCAAATACATTATATTGAAATCGCTTATCAGCAAGTCATGTTGTACTGTGACACCTAGACGATGACCAACAAGCTGCATATCAGGCCATTTTCGCCTTTTTCGACCTCCGTAATTTATCATTACAGAAGCAAGCGATATAATAAAAATAGTAATCAAATGTGAAGGGGTGAAATTAATATTAGGTGGAAATTAATTTCATCGGCGTAGGGCGAAAATTAAACTGGGCGACAGTTTCCCGGTATACATATAGAAAAATACATGAAATGCTGTTTTGCATCACATGGATAAATTAAACAAATGCTGTCAAAAGATTTGAAGATAACATAATTCATACCTTTACCATTTTCCAAAGAAAAGATTCAGTTGAGTTTTGCCAAACGTCTATCATCTTCGGTCTTGTGATAGCTGGGATAGTGACATTTACAACAGCGTGGGATGCTGAGAATTGTGTTATCGTTATTGTCATGGTAACATTGGTTGCATCACTTTCGCTGGTGTTTCCGCGTTCGTAGAATGTGACTGTAAAGTCGGCTTTAGTGAAGGATGCGTTCAACATGTAGCCAGTTGTAACACTGATCTTCCAATCAACAGCTGTAATGAGGTTGATTCAATTATTATAATGACGTTAATTCGATGTTCTTATATACCGCATCATCACAATATAGGTCCTATGTCGCCTTAAAGCGGTTCACAAATAATTATCCGTGGTTAGGGGGCCTTTGCAACCAGCCAATATCTTTTTCATCTCCCTGGGGAGCATACAGCCGGTGCTGCCATTTCGGCGCTTCCAGCTAGCATTCAACCGTTCTAGCACTGCGTAACCACGTACTGATATACAGCTGAGTAGACTGGAGCAAACGGAGTAAAGTAATTTGTTCAAAGATACAACACAGTGACGTGACGTTACTCGAACCGAAAACCCTTCAGCCAAGAGCCCGGCGTCCCGCACTAGACTGCCGTGCCGCCAACATCACCAAATTAGGGGATAGTACGTTGTTTTGAGTGGCTATACTGGCGATTAGAACATGAAATTTGGGTTTGAACTCGAGACCGATAGATCGAGAGTTTAAACCAAATTTCATGTTCTAATCGCCAGTATAAACACGAAAAACAACGTACTTTCCCCATTCTAACACACCTTAACAAATATACCACGCTAATATGTTTAGAAACATTGTATGTCCTTGTTTAAAAGTACGTAGTAAAATACTTTGTGACCTGAACTGGCGACGTGTCATTCTGCAGCGGAATGACCAATCGGAAAGAAGCTTTCAAAAGTCGGTCATTTGACCCCGCCCATACTGGCGAGCGCTCGATCTGTATGTTCGTGAACGTCCTGTTACCAACGTTTATACGACACATTTGGATTAATATTGACCAAGTTCTTAAATTTCCATGTCAGTATGCATACCAATCTATGCTTATCGACAAAATCGGTGATTATTTGTATAGATTTGTGAAGAGTTTTGTGTAAATGCATACGACACATGTGAAATGTTTCATTTGATTTCGGATCTAAAAAGATGCCTTTACACGGATGGAAGGAAAGTTTCAGTAATAAATGGAGGTAAGAACAAGGAATGCGTTCTTTTTACTTTTAAATTAATTCAACAAATTATACATTTCATCAGTCGTTTCTGTTCTGTTGCCTACTAGCCTTATCAGCGGGATTTCGCTAAGAGGCGAGCTTGACGCCATATTGTTTTGGTTAGAAACGGGGCGTGGCTAAAGTGCGATGGGAGGAGCTTATCACGATTGATCATAATTCTATCGCAGATTAGAACATTGTCCGTATCCAATCAAAACACGCGTTTCAAACGAATCGTGTTAGAATACATAATATAACGTTTATAAAGAGACGAAACCATTTAGCAGATGAGTGTTATTAGTCATGATCCACAGAGGCTTAGAAAACTGTATCATTGGTAAATCCATCTGAAGTGTTATTCTCGAATTCAATCGACATAAACCTTATTGTCGTCTGTTAATACATTGTCTATCACCTTTGACTTACCTTCTTTCTTGGTGTTCATTTCCCTGGTTGACTGTATCTCAGTTGATGCTGATGGTTCAGTAGTGGTAATCGTAGTAGGAGTGTTGGTGGTGGTAGTGGTAGTAGGAACGGTGATGGTAGTGGTAGTAGGAACGGTTGTTGTGGTGGTAGAAGTTGTAGTGGTATAGGTTGTACTTGTAAAACAATCAGGCTTTGTACCTTTAAAAATACATTATTAATGTGTTACAGTTTACCATATTAAGCAAAATATTTTTAATGTTCTGTTTTGGCGTTTTGGCGCTTTGTCATATAGATTACTAAAAATACAATCGTTAAAATATTAACCCTCGAATTAGACGAGTGACTTCATTAAACTCACGTTATACCGAATTCATGTCAAACGTGAAAGGAAACACTAGGATATGTTTGATGTGCGCCCACGTTTCACCAGTTCGTGCATGTGTTTATTACTTGCGTTTCATATTTTTAGCGGATTTATCTATGGAACTAAGAATGTAACTATATCGCGTCATTATCACTTAGCCACCGAACAACAAGAAGAGAATACCAAGGTGTATTCATAATAGATGAAATCTCTGCAAAACAAGAACAAAGGTAAGATTTACATCAGCCCCATGGAAACATTGACAAGGAGACCAGACATCTCGGAAGGGCCAGCGTTTGTTTGAAACCACCAAGGTTACGCCTTCAAAATCGTCCGCTTTATGGTATCAACAATAATTTAAAAAAAAAAAAAAAACATTGGGAAACTCGACATCGCCTTCAAAAAGTCCAGTCTGAGCCGATATATACGCGTACATGATGCCATGCTGTAGTGAAAGAAACACGAATCGTTTGATAACATATACAATTGTATGGCCTTTCAATGTTGAAGTTTCTATAAATTGAGGTTCGGTTAAAGTTTACCTCAAAAATGGCCTAGTCATATTGTGGTTATATGACTTCTTTCGATTAAAACCTTGTTCAAACTTTTATAACAGATTGCTGACATATTGGTATTACATTCTATTGTCTTGTATTATTACATATTTCCGTGACATTTTATATATTGTTTTCATTATCACATTCAGTGATATCAGTATCATACATCCAAATAAGGACAGAAATGAAAAATGTAACAATATATATGATCGTTATATGATATAGCTTGCTGGGTTTTCGTTGCCATACATATGTATTTATCCAAATTAGGTCAGAAATGAAAAATGTAGGAATAGTTATTATCGTTACATGTATGTAATACAGCTTGCTCTGTTTTCATTGTTCTATCTATCCGAATAAGGCCAGAAATAAAAAGTGTGTCAATGTCTAATATCGTTATCGTATACCTTGCTGTGTTTTCAGTGCCGTATTTATCCGAGTAAACCCAAAAATTAAAGAAATGGAGTAAAATTCGACCAAAGGTTGATTTTTTTTCCGCCATAAAAGGAAAAGCAATATTTATCAAGAAACGCGTTGTGAAACAGCAATATAATACATCAACAACCTCAGTCGAATAATTAAAGATTCTCGTGTTTTAGACGATACACCTTATTTTGCTATATAACACTTACCACTACGCTGGAGATACCGTGTTAGAGTGTTATACTTAATGTATCCGCAGCCGAATCCAAAGTATCTACATGTCATAAGATGGACAAAAACGAACTGAAACAAAACAAGATGATTGATTGATAGGTTTTACGTCCACTTCACTACCGAGTAGTTCGGTTATCCAGCAAACAGAGAGAGAACAAGATATTATATAGTATTTTATATAGTGAAAAATACAGTGGCCGACATCGGTCTGACAAAAATACTGTTACAGTTTGCTAACTCAATAAACTGTACAACACCTACAACACGTGGGGCAAGCAATTTAGTTATAAAACCATATGTCATCACCATGTATAATGACAATGTCATAAAGCAAAAATTAAAAGGAAAAAAATAATGTTACTAAAAATACGAAGCAAAAAGAACAACTGAAAGCATAATGTTCAAAATATTATTTTAACATTTGTTTAAGCAAGTGGCAAACAAAATTTTACGTTAGTAACTTATCAGTACAATAGGTTTATGATTCAGGTTTTGGGTACACGTTTCTCATACCTGTAAGGACACTAGTATGACTCAAACGATGGATGAAAGCCCCTTTGTGGGACTAGCATATTTGTTGTATAGCTATAGATCCCCCTGTACAGATTGTTCCTATCTTGTTGTCATTACACGGCTCTCTATGTATATTCTGATATAGCTATAGATCCCCCTGTCCAGATGTTTATATCTTGTTGTCATTACACGGCTCTCTATGTATATTCTGTTATAGCTATAGATCCCCCTGTCGAGATTGTTCCTATCTTGTTGTCATTACACGGCTCTCTATGTATATTCTGTTATAGCTATAGATCCCCCTGTCGAGATTGTTCCTATCTTGTTGTCATTACACGGCTCTCTATGTATATTCTGTTATAGCTATAGATCCCCCTGTCGAGATTGTTCCTATCTTGTTGTCATTACACGGCTCTCTATGTATATTCTGTTATAGCTATAGATCCCCCTGTCGAGATTGTTCCTATCTTGTTGTCATTACACGGCTCTCTATGTATATTCTGTTATAGCTATAGATCCCCCTGTCGAGATTGTTCCTATCTTGTTGTCATTACACGGCTCTCTATGTATATTCTGCTTTCATCATTTGCAATTGAAACACAGAAACAGTGTGAAATAAGTCTTTGATACTACGACTTTGAACTTCCCAGTAATTAATTCACCACTGAGACCATGTGAAATAATTGCACACTATTGGACTACATAGATGGGAAGTTACGACTTTCTGATGGTTTGACGTTGAAGTTCTTAAAATCAAATATTCATGTTATGTTCTTACTTTTGATTTGATACCAGTGAATCTATTGAAACAAGACTTTATGTCATCTACTGAATATGAAGAGTTATCATTTTTTGTATACGTACTTATGGACTGAAAATGTAAAAAAAACCAAAAAAACAATGGATACAATACTACCCGTTTGAGCTGGAAAGATAATAAAGAATAGAATAGAGTAGATTATTGAACGGTAACTGTATAAGTTAAATAAAAAAATCAGGGCAAAAAGTTATTTGTTTGTCAAATCCAGATGTTTGCCATTGTTGCAATCGGCAATACGGGATTCAATCACACTACTTGCAGTCCCTGACATAAAATGTATTTTTGGAAAAAAACTGCTCAGGCTAAAAGAAATGGCTAGGGGCCTTTCTTTCCTTAAGTGAGAGCCATTTTTCATTGACAAAAACATATTTTGGACAAAGTTTTTTTTTAGCGTCAGACATATGTCATTGACATAAAACATGATTGTAACACAATTCTATAGAAATAATAAATATGTTCATCTTACGTGTTTTTATTGCGCATAGTACAGGCTTAAGCCTGAGTAAATTATATCAATTCGCGAGATAAAATTGCACTCATTCTGTGACGTAACATATTAACACATATGTGTGGAGTAGCTTTTATCAAAACCCAACATCGCTCTTCATATGCATATTATATTTTCTACAAAAAACACTAATCATTACCAAGTATTATTGTTCAATTCTCATATTTTATTATCAAATTGTGAAGAACATGGTCTTGTTTTGCGCGACCTGAAAAATGTCTGTATCACTGTAAAAGGATTCATCAGGTCTATGTTTAAAATGTAATACCAAGTGTGTTTTCCCGAAATTGCAGATTTACACATGTACATATTAAATTGTGTTATCAAATCATACAGTTGTTCAAAGTTTACAGATACGAAACAACAGATTTTGGTACCGAGTTTGTGTGGCGTTCAAAATAACTTTTTCTTTGAAGTTCAATAATTTGATCCTACACTCGCCTTGTCATATTGAGTTTATCAAACGGTTACACATACGAAACATCAGCTTTTGGAACCGAGTTTGTTAAGTTCAAAGGCCTTTGTCTTTGAAGTTTCTTCTGTATCATTCTTTTAAGTTTGACATTTTTGCGGTATATTTTAAATTTCATATATGCTTGAAGACATGTGTGATATTGCTTCTTGGTCTGGATCATTAAACGCTTTAAATTACAGAATAATGTATTTTCCCCCAAACAATTTTGGCTTAAATCACATTGTGTATGATATCAAGTTCTTTTATAAGTCACCATCTTGTTGTGTTCCGAACAAACCCAATGTGTACACAAACTAACCTGTATGCAGGACCAACCGTCCTTGTTTCCAACCATCTGCAAACTGTATTTTACAGGACTGTTCAGATGTAAGGACAGATTATCTATGGTTGTTGTTTCTCCTTGCTTGAACCTTTTATAAAACATGATTGTTTGGCTTATACCAGTACTGTCCCATACCGTAAGGCTAAAATCACTACGAGATCCAGCGTAAGTTTTCACGCTGGTTTCTGTCTCAATCTGCCACAAGTCTTCTGAAACAGGATAAACCGATCAAAATACACTCAGATGACAAACTAAGAGAAACCCTTAAGACCGGGAAATTTTCGCTGTTATTTAATTTTCGATATTTTTGCCTTTGGGAAAAAGGGTAAGTTGAGCATGACTTTACTAATGGTTAACATAATTTTGATAGTAATTACATGTGATGGGCGAAATCAATACTAGCCAGATGAAAATTGATTTCACCGGTGACAAGGGAATGTACACTAACTTACATATTTAGTGACTGGGAATTTGATAAAAGGATTTTACATCAGTGTCCATGTCATATTGAATTAATTAAACGAGTTCAATAATTTGATTTGACACGAACCTTAAGCTTAAGCCGTTCAAATTATTGAACGAGTTTAATCATTTTGATATGACATGAACACGAACATTATATCATATTTATCACATAACATTCCTAATTTGATTAAAAAACAAATTCAAACACAATAATAACTCTATACAGATCAACTAAAGTAGCTCCAACATAGTATTGTCGTTCCGTGCAGTGCAAATAGTTTCAGATTTAAATAATAGACAATAGTAAATGGACTGAAAATAACATTGACAAAATGAACATTTCAAATTGAGTTAATAGCAAAACAACGAATAACAGTTTTATCTGAATTAGTACATGTAATGGCGTAAGGATATCTCCCCACGGTTTCGACCAATCACAAAACCGTAAGGTTATATTACACGTGTGTACTACCTTATTTCTTACATGGTCGTATGACGTACTAAAATCGGTCAATATTGTGATAAAGATGAAAAATCGAGGTATAACCAACAACAGTTTTCTGATTGTCAAAAACAATGAGTAAGAGTAAGATTCGGGCCCTGACCTTCAAATTGTTATAATATTGCAACGGAAGTGCCGAATTGTACTACCATTTTATCTGAAATGAAATAAAGGCAGGTAACTCTAAAGACGAAAATAGAGTTGAACGTCTAGTATTTTGCCTGCAATTGTTCAAGGATCCTTGAGCCTATATATCCATCTGATATTCGTTTTTCATGTTCAAACGATAAAAAAGTCATGTACACTACCATTGTATCTCAAATGAAATAAAGAGAGGTAACTCTAAAGACGAAAATAGAGTTGAACGTCTAGTATTTTGCCTGCAATTGTTCAAGGATCCTTGAGCCTATATATCCATCTGCTATTCGTTTTTCATATTCAAACGATAAAAAAGTCATGTAAATAATATTGTTGATGTATACTTAAACGAAAAGGAAACGCAGCATTACGTTGGTCTACTACAGACGCCGCAATGCAGTGCACATCATATATGAAGGTTGGCAGCATACCTGACCAGACGTTGTCCTATGAGTGATTGAATGTCCATGCTCTTCACTTATTAATCTCAATTTAAATAATTAAGAGTTAAAGACCGTAAACGTTTGTACCGGCGTCGTGGCGAGCGTTTTTCTAATGCTGTTTTTTGAGAATGGCCGATTTGGGGTAAGACCAGTCATGGTTTTGCCTTTTTTGCAATACATTACACCGTCTTATTAGAGGTTTCACAACTGCCGCCATTTCCATTTAAGTAACTTAGGACATTTCATTTCATGATTGGCTGGTTAACGCCCCATTTGTTTAAGATTCCTACATATTGGAGTACTCATTTTTATTGACTGTCATTTTTTTTAAATGTTTCAATTTAACGATATAAATAATAATAAACTACAGACGGCTGGCACATAAATCTCTCGGGCTAACAATTGTTTGATTCTACTTCATTATAATAATAATATATAACATTTATATAGCGCCCTATATAATTTGAAAAAAATTTCTCTTAAGTGCTTTATAACATATGGATAATAGTATTAGTTAAACAAAAAACAACTTGACATTCACAATTATACATTAAGCAAGAAGATAAGCACCTCGATGTGCATATACATACGTATACATATTGTTTGTACCTGTTGGAAATATGGTGGACTTAGCGCTGTCAGTACCAATCAAGCAGTCGCATTCAAACGTAAAAGTATACGATGAACTTTCCATGGTCAACTGCAACAAATAACAGATACAAATCAGATTATTATTAATATTTGTATTTGATGTAAAATAGATGTAGAGTTTAAATTTGTGCAGCAACACGAAGATATCTCAATTCATCGAAATAAGCAAAAACATTTTTTTTGAAAAAAACCTAATTGGTAACATTTGAAAGCAAATTCAAGTTATTATGCCCAGCGTCAGTAGTTAGGACCAATGTCATATGCCATATTATAGCATAGTATTGATATAAACAATGCGGAAGGTTAACACGTTATAATTACCTCAGTGTTTCAAACTCAACTAGACTAGAGAAGAATAGGAATATTATACGAACGAAATCAACAGAAACAAATTTACTCTAAAGAAATGTTTTCATATATATCAATATTGTAATTATTATCTTTAATAAGATTCATCAGTTTGGAAATATAAGATATCATTTACTTTTTACACAAACAATGTACGTATTACACGTGTTGCAACGTTTCAAACCCGACTGGTCCCTATGTCAAGCTATGACTGAGTGAGCGATTTGTATTATTTTTCTGTACAACGATGTGACAAAATTGTTTATTTTACATATCACTCGACCCGAGACGTTCCGTCTATCGATAGGGAGCGTATACACACTGCATCAGTCATAGCTTGACAAGGGGACCAGTCGGTCTTGAAACGTTGCAACACGTTTAGTACGTACATTGTTTGTGTAAAAAGTAAAACTTTGATATTGTAATCATTAGTTTTTCTAACTGAATAAAAACAGTGTCTGCAGGCGTGAACACCTTCCTTTGTAAAGGAAACAAGTATTGCTCTGAGCTGAATCCAGGGCCCTGGCTGTCACTATTCCCTCTTTCTTCTGAGGATACTATCGATTATTTTTCTTTCAAAAATAAAATAACTAAAAAAGGTTCTTTTTAAACAATACGTGCACAATGAATGACACGTACAGCCAATCAGAGATTAAAACAGCGAAGGAAGATATCATTTATATATTTAAAATGCACAGCTCTTTTCAATTTATTATTAAAGGGGCCGACCTGCCTGGTTCCCAATTGATAAAGAAATGTTTTTAACAAACAAATACAAAGACATCATAACTATGATTTTGTTACTTTCATTTAAAGCGTAAAATCATAGTGTGACGTGTTTGTCTGAAAGACGATGACCGTAGAAAATGGTAACATATTTGTAATGTGTTGACTATTAAGGCAAATACTGATAGCTCGTTATTCTCGGAGATTTTATGCAGACGTTGCAAATTCGATGACCCTCCATAAAAAACATGCTTCTACTCTTAAATTTGCATGGTTTTGGATAAAAACCCGTGCTCGTTAATAGTTTTCCGGAAAGAGCATCGAAATAAGCAAAAAGGTTAAAAAAACCACAAACACACTTCAAAATACAGCATGTTTAGAAACTTCAAGTACGACATATGTCCTACCTTCAACAGTTTCCAAAGGGTAGAATCAATCCCGTCACGCCATACGTCTATCTTTGTCGGTCTTGTGATAGACGGGATAGGAACAAGGACCACAGTTGACGAGTTTCTGGTGTAATCTGTACCAATGACCATTGTCTCAATTGGTGCTGTAATTTCACTGGTGTTTCCGCGTTCGTAAAACGTGACTGTTAGTTCCACTTTTGCAGGCGCGTTTGGTATGTTCGACATCATTATCCCTATTTCCCAATCGACAGCTGCAATGGAAGTAATTTAGTTTGACGGGAAAGGCACTTGTTATACCCAGCGAGACCCATAGTCGTTACCAAGCAAGGACAAACTAAAATGTCGGCACTGCCTTAGAAACGATAGTCGGAAGAGATGGGGAAGATCTCAAAACCAGAAAAAAACCTCAATTAAAAGCTTTTTAACTTGCACTGTCAACTTTAAGTATAAAACTGTTTCCTCGTTTAAAAGAATAACGTAAATAGTTATAATGAAATAATCTTTGTAACTGGCTAAGAGAGCTTATATCTTCAGACATATATGAGCTTATACATTAAGTAAGGAGGTGACCATTTAAAAAATAAATGATAATGCAAATTCTATTTCCGTTTTGTTTTTTTTTGAAAATATCAAAAGGACTGGACAACAACTGGCTTTGACTGTATCACGCAGCACAAGTTGCAGAAAAAGTGATGCAAGGGGAGTAACTTCCACAAACGATATTTTTGAAATTAACCTCGGTAATGAGTTTTTCAGGAAATGTTTCGGCATTAAGACAAAATAATGGTAAGGCGCCTTTTGATCCTGCCGGCAATAACAAATAAGACAAACAGACAAACGATCATGATATAGTTCAAATTCCAAATTACTGACATCCATATATTTTTTTTAAATATGTTAGTTACGTCATTTAGACGCTTGTTTATTTATTTTTATTTTTTTAAACTACGATAATGACTGGTAATTCGTAACAGTAGGTTCTATGTTTCTGTTCGACATAAAGGCTAACTAAAATTGATATTTTACCTTAGCTGCTATCTTGTACTTGCAATTTTCTAAACAAATGGATCAACAACATTGCTTAAGTAGTCATTGGGAAGAATTCTATACATTAAGATTAATTGCTGTTTGTTCCCTCTTTCAGATGATGTTTCTAGTTCTAATTCTTATGAAGCTCACATGTAATGTTCCTCGACATAAACCTGTGTAATATTCTAGCTATATCTAATTGGATTGATTCGAGGGGTGTTTCTCATTTTCTGTACAATTATCCCATACTACATTTGAATATTCTAGACCTGGTTAAATATCGAAAGTATACAAAATACCGAGCGATTTTCTATCTGCAGATATATTTTTGTTCTAAGAACGTTGATATTTTATATGCTTTATCTTATGATTTTATTGTGTCCATCACACTAAAACCTATCGTATCGCACAGTCCACCAACACACAAGATTATATTCCCATAACGCTGGTACTTTTCAATCGTCTTTTTCTCCATAAATACATTGCCCTACCGTCAACATTATTGATGCCACAGCGTTCCTGACCTTTTATACGAATCTTAAAAACTTCAACAATATACGGTAGACCGTCTCTGGCCACTCTCCGATTCACGCTGTTGGATCAGCTCTGACACTCGTTCTCTTTTCAGCTCATTAATAAGAACCGCTGACTCTACATTGAACCCTGTTTAATTATGAGTCTCTCCGAATTTGCACAAAGATTACATTCCTTCACAAAACTATTGTCATGCAATGTTTTGCGCGAACGTTAATGCCCGTGAACTAATTATGATCGATCGGGATATTAGGCCGCAGACTAAAACAATTTTACAGTCTATATTTATAAACTTTATTTATTTTACAACAATTTTGAAACAAAGTTATTTCAACTTATATGATTAACGATTTGGCCCGGATGTTAGCGCGCGGAGGGTCTAAATGTGGGAGGAAACCGAAGCACCCAGGAAACCCACGTGGTCAGGCAGGTGACCCCATACCTTTTCACGTCCGATCGGGGAATCGAACCCCCGATGAAAGGCAAGTGCGTTATCCACTGCACCACCCGACCACCCGATACCCTTACCACTGTATTTATTTATATTGACAGTATCAATAGTAAAATACTCATTTGGTAGACGTGTTTAGCTATCAGTGGATGACACGTATTGATAGCAGTGACACATTCAGCCTTGCCAGTCTGTGGATTTCCCATTGCTATATTTTCGGACGTACACACTGCATGGTTTGCACTGACGAAGTTCTCAGTATCTTAGTTACGGGATAACATTTGTTATCAAAAGCAAAACTCGTTAAAATATACCAATTACATATTTCATTATCTATCGAATCAATAAATGTGCAACGCGTTACACATCGAGTTGTTTTCGTGCTTCAAAGCTTAAGTCACGCTGACTACGGAACTCGCAAAAGTATGTCCATATGCGAAACGTCGGAAGGTTGTTTTTCAGAGACAGCTTATCAACCAGAAACAGTATATAAGTATCACACCTCCCACTGTAGCGAATGCAAACACGGCAATGATACAATCAATACTGTGTTTGTATAATCATCAACCACCGATCCGGAAAGTCTTATATTGGGAATTGGTTGTATTCATCCGTCTGCGGAATAAAGCTCGTTACAAATTAGTATTTTTAAGTAAAAGTTCGAATGAAAATCGCTTTGTTTGACCACAAATTATCCAGAAAATACATTTTAAAATGCAAGCACTACTTATGTTATCAAAATATGTGAATTTTTACTAATCTGATCGAGTAAAGAATATTGGTACCGGACAGTGTGTCAGGAGATTATGTCGTTGTGCTGTGTCTAGCGCGATTATATAATTGATTCGGTAGCCAACCATTGTCATTGGTCAGTTCGTGAAAAGTAGCAAATATTATAGGTGACAGAACCACGTGGATAAATTATGAGCTTTTCTGTGTTATTGTATCATATCTTACTGAGGAGCTGTAAAACTATACAAGTGTTGACATGCAAGGTTCGGGTTATCATTTACCAGTTATGGACGAGTATTGTAGAGATTGCAATACTTTTGTTCTACTTTTTGTTTCTTCGCTACACGCAATATGCATACCTTATATAATGTCCAATACTTGTAAACAACTGAAAAATATCAAGTTTTAGGATTACATTTACATGCATAGCTCTAATGAAATTGAATCGTACCGTTTCCTATATTTATCCGATGGTTGTCAGTTTGTTCCATTCTTATCATTGTGCTTGTTCATCGTTGTGGCACTCATGAACGCTGAATGCTCACTAAGATATTGTTCCATATATTTTAGATTCCACTGCCTGCAACTGTATTGAACAATGCTAAAACAGTCCGTTTTATACCTGGATGTATTAAATACACGTTTATTCGCCGAAGCTCAATAATGCAACTACGACAGATTGTTTGTGTGTGGGATATTTTGTCCTGTTTTTTTTTGTTATGATAAAGGGCGATATGGTATAATGAAAACTGTTGAAAATTATGTGATATCGATTTTTACCATGAATAAGACAAAACCTGTGACGTTGCCCGGCAACTGCGATATATAATAATCATTAGTTTTATTGACGAATAAATAATAAACGAGGAGAGGAAAAGTAGACGTACATTAATGCGAATTGTCTATAGATCGATTGAAACACTATGCCATACAATGATAAGATATTTTCCTCTGAGGGTTTTGGTGAGATGGTTGGGAGAGATGTTAATGGTATGTGCGCATCCACCCATCCATCCATCCAATCCGTCTATCCATCCATCCATCCATCCACAAACAAATGTGATCCCTATCTCTGCCACCTTCTTGTATTCAGGATCAAAGTGACCATGCGGGACGCCCATTAATACAAACTTCTCTACCCACATATGTGCACCAAATGACTTCCTGTTAAGAGACAATATTTTTCTAGGGAATTCAAAATTGTCAGTATCTAGTCGGCTACAGATCTGCTACCTGACCTTATCAAATGTTATTTTTATCAGCGGTTGAATTTATCCCTTAAGGAAAATCTGCAATTGATATCAACAATGTATATGTATTTTATATTGTTTTTTACTTTTTAAATTTTGCAATATACTGATACAATAAATAAAGATTCAATGATATCTATTATCAAGTGTATGTGTATAGACATAAAATGACGTAAAACACATTTTCTTTTACAATAATACCATCAGTTTGTAAAGATTTGTTTCTGGCACAGCTATATCTCATTACCATAGTTACACTATATCACCAAATGTACAGTAATGTTTCAATTATGTCAGCACAGTTACAATCCATCACCGCGGGTACATGCTTTAACTACAGTTACAATATATTAACACTAAAAATCCATCGTTACTTCTTGACACCAATATTACAATACGACACCACTATTATACTATATCTGCACAGTTATACCATATGACCAAAGTTACACTTTATCATCATAGCTACTCACAATTACCGTAGAAATGCTACATTAGCATAGTAACAACATATTTCCATAGTGACACTGTATCACCCCAGTAACACTATGTCAGCATAGTTATATGTTTAGCTATATCACAATAGTTACAGTATATCACCACAGTTACAGGATATCACAATAATTACACTTTATTACCATAGTTCTGTCACTATGGTTTCACTATAAAACAATAGTTACATTTTATTTCTTCATTTGTGCTCCATTATGATAGCTACATTCGTATTGAAATATATATTGCTGTCGTGTATTACTTCGGGCATGTCACGCTTCAACGGAGCGCAGGTCGTTCAAATAAATTATATCTCTTACACGACTGGTATTTTTTTACATACTAAGCAATGTGCAGGTGACCTTTCCTGTTACTACTTTTATTATTAACGGTAAAGAAAAGAAAACAGATGCTTTAAGACCCTGTTCAGTTGTCAAAATAATGACAAATGGTATTGCTACTAGAGGGATGAAACAGCTGTCTAATGCACTGTAAATCAGTTTCACCATATTGTATCTGTTAACACATTTTAAAAGTGCATCACATATGCATACATATATATTTTGCTAGGGATCACCTATATTTTTAAAAATAATCAAAATGTTAGACAGGATATTAATATTTTCTTTGTGTCGGAGTGTTCAGTCAACTATAAAAGCGAGTGTCTCAAACTGTGGTGGCAAGACTGTGGAACTGTGCACCTTGCCTTCTGTATAACAGTATTTAAAACCAATACC